ACTTATTTCTCCCAGTTCTGGAGGCTGGAAGTCTGAGATTTGGATGCCAGCATGGTCAGGTTCTGGTAAGAGTCTTCTTCCTGGTTTATTCACATGTTGGAAAAAGAGCAAGCTCTCTGGAGTCCCTTTTTTATTTTTATTTTATTTTATTTTATTTTATTTTATTTATTTTTTGGAGTCCCTTTTATAAAGGCACTAATCCCATTCAGAGGGCTCCATCCTTATGACCAAATCATTTCCCCAAGTCCACACCTAACTACTGGCATATTGGGGTTAGGGTTTCAACATGAATTTGGAGGAAACAAACATTCAACCCATTGTACTCCTTTCTAATGTTACTCATCACATTTCATGTCTTAGTCGTGAAAATTTTATATACACATCTTATTTCCTTTTTTTGACTCAGTGATATACTTCATGTATATGATACCCAGGACAGATCATTTTAATATGCCTCTGCTCTGTAAGACAAAATTGTTCTCAGTAATGTTGCAGAAATCAGGAATCACTATTTTCTTAATTTGTTCGTTAGTTTTAGAGCAATGAACAATTTAGGAGGAAGAACACATTGCAACTTTGAAGATACTCAAATGCATTAAAAGTATTTCCTGTAAGAACTACAATTTTTACTTACTAAACAAAATATAGTTGACTCTTGAACAACACATATTTGAATTGTGTGGGTGCAAATATATGTGGATTTTTTCCCCATAAATACAACAGAGTACTGTAAATTGATTTTCTCTTCCTTATGATTTTCTTAATAACATTTTCTTTTTTTCCAGCTTATTTCTCGTAAGAATACAATATGTAATACATATAATAAACAAAATAGATGTTAATCGACTGTTTATGTTACTGGTAAGGCTTCTAGTCAACAGTAGGCTGTTAGTAGTTAAGTTTTGGGGAATTCAAAAATTATATGTGGCTTTTTGACTGCATGGGCGGGGGGGGGGGGTCGGTGCCCCTAATCCACGTGTTGTTCAAGGGCCAACTGTATTATACCTCCCAGTTCCCTGTTAATATCTGTCTTACTGTATTACATTATAAACATAAAAATTCTAAATGGTGGTCCCGTAGGATAACAGAATGTAAGTTCTCAGGTTTTGCTTCTTTGTCTTCACAATCATTATGGTATCATTTTTGATTTTCAATTTTCTGTTTCTATGTAGGAAAATGCAGTAAGTATCATAGAAGTTGGAGACATGGGGTGGTCAGAATGAGTTGGGAGGTTTCAAAACCGTGATACCTGCAGTGAGCACATCACCAAATGGGTAAATGTCAGGGGCCAACCACATAACTGGGAGTTCGCAAAATTAACGTCAATAGGGATGCCTGGGTGGCTCAGCAGTTGAGCATCTGCCTTTGGCTCAGGACATGATCTCGGAGTCCTGGGATCGAGTCCCACATCGATCTCCCTGCATGGAGCCTGCTTCTCCTCATTCTGCCTGTGTCTCTGCCTCTCTCTCTGTGTCTCTCGTGAATAAATAGATAAAATCTTAAAAAAATTAATGTTGATAGGGAACATAATTTTTATTAAAGGGTAGGTAATAAAAATGTGATCATTCGAAGTTTACACATATATTAATAAAACCCAACAATAACCATAGGGGTTGTTTGCAACTGTAGTAAAAAACTATTTTGAAAGGTAGGAGGTTTATTTTTATCACTGACATCTGGGGTAGATGGCTCCTATCTCCCCACCCCTGGCCCACTCCTGATTGAACAGCTCAGGGCAGGATTTGGGGACAAGGGCCAACTGGGCAGTCCACAGTTGTACAGTGTCTACTGTCCAAATGCAGTGGTTCTGGGATGGCCTATATGTGAGGCCGATTTTCTTCATGTACTCCAAACAAAGCAACACATCCCAATCCACTGAATACAGACACAGATAAAAGAATCTAGCCCTTTTCTATTAAGCCAGACATTCAAGAAATTTGCAACACTTCTTTGTAAAACAGTATCACTCTTCAGACTCCCTTTTTACTGTTGTTGTTTTGAAAATACGAGGTATTTCTCATAATATATGTATTGATACCAATAGGTTTGCTGTTCTTTTTAAAAGCATTACAATTTACAAAAATTCCTCAATTTTAGTCTCTAATATCGTAAATATCGATAGCTGTATTCCACGCAGAAAACAAAACAAAACAAAACAAAACTCTAGCTCTTTGGAGTCCTAAGGGATTTTTCAGTATGTAACGGTGTCCCGAGATCAAGAAGTTTGCGAACTGCCACACGCGTGTGTGGCCTTATACACGGCAGATGCTTGCACAGGGGGGATGGTTAAAGGAGTGAGGGACTCAGTGGGTGGGTGCCAGCGCCTTCTGGGATTTGGAAGCTGCAGCTGGTATGGGAGGGAGGGACAGGCCCCTGGAGGCAGTGGTGATGGATACCTGGAAGGTGGGGTTGCCAGGGCCTGGGAGCAGCAGCTTCCATCTGAGGGCAGTGTGGGCTCTCGTGGCCTCACCAGTGGGGTGGGTCTGGGCCTCAAGCTGTGAGGTCTGGGGATGAGGGTGATGGTAGCTCTGTGTTCCGGGGGAACAGATCCTGTTCCCCTTGGTGCTAACAGATTGGAACAATTGCCCCGGTCCATATTTCTGAATGAGAACTGAACAGAACTGTTTTTGAGGGGCCTCTGGCTGTCACATCCCTGGGAGTGAGCACAATGGAAAGAGAGAAAGGCCTGGAGCCTCAGATTGAGCTGTCTGTGCTTCTCCTTTCTTGGCTCTGAACAGCCATGGGACCCCTGCAGGTTCACCCAAATGCTGGCTTACTCTCCCACATGGCGAGGATGGGCTAACAGCTGGCACGTACCGGGTGCACAGAGCTGGAGTGGGTCCATTAGTAAGTCATTCATAAAAACAAAAAGAGGCAGGCCGGGAGGGGTGGGGTTCAGGAGGAAGGGTCCTTGCGGGAGCTCTTCCTGGCCCAAGGCTAGTGACAGTGGGAGCTTTGTACAGACTGGGGTTTCCCAACACTTGACCCACTAGGGGCACTTTGCCCTGAATAACTCGTTGTGGGCACTGTCACGTGCACTGTAGAATGTTTAGTAGCGTATCTGGCCTCTGCCCATTACATGCCAATAGCACTCTATCCCCAACTGTGACAATTGAAAAATGTCTCTGGGCATTGCCAAATGTCCCCTGGGGGACAGTTTTGCCCCTGGTTGAGATCTGCCAGTCTAGATACTCATCTGACGAGGCCTCCACTGTGGGCACCTGCTTCCAGCCAGTGCCTTGGACGATGATGCCCCAGCATCATGCACACAGATTGGGCTCAAGCACGAAGAGTTTTGCCAAGGGATTCTGCTTGCAAGGGAGCAAGAGACCTCCAGACTCTGATCCTTTTCCCTGAAGAACCCTCCTGCTCATCATGGCTGCTTCCCCCAGCTTCGGGACAAACCAGGCCCTGAGGAAGCAGCAGCTGACAACACAACATCTGTTGATGGAAATCTGGACAACGTCCAGCAGCCTGGAGGAGGCCGACTTGCCCTTCAGCCTCCTGCTTAGCATCGATGGCTTCTGACCTCCAAGTCTCCACTAAAAACCATTCTGAGCCCATCGACAGCACAATATATAAATGAAGGGAGAGATATTCACACGATGGAATGCTTCTGCCCCCAGAATGAATGAGTCACCACCACATACATGTGCCCCGGATGAGTCTCACCAGGGTAATGTTCGTGAAAGAAGCCAGAAGCAAAAGAGCACATTCTGTATGCTTCCCTAATGAGAAGTTCCCCCCAAAGACAAAATAATCTATGTTAAGGCTCAAGGGGTACACAAGAGAAGCTTCCGGGATGTAGGTTCCAATTACCACCATTCACTGGGCAGTTATGATCTAGGTACTTTTCTTAATATATGTTATACTTTGATAGAAAATAAAGACAACATTCTGGGCCAAAGGTCAGGGCAGACCCTTCAGCAAAATCCTGGTCAACCCAGGGAATAATAATCATCAGCGATTTTGCCTGTCTGTCTCTAAATTATTATTGTCATTTTTGGACCTGGTTCATGCATGAGATGATGAATGCAAAATAATAGGCACAATGCTTGACATAGAAAATGCTTAGTAAATGGTAATAATTAATACTACTAATCAGTTATTAACTGGCCTGTGATGCAAAATAATAATAATAAAATAACAAACAGCCCTTTTGAAAGGGGAAACAAAATTCTGGAATTTTCACATATATTGGTCACTAAATTTCTCATTCTCAAGGTTTTTAGAGGTCCTTCCAAGCACAGTCTTTGAGAAAAGAGAAATCTAAACCCTCTACCTTAGAGTTACTAGCTCCTGACCAGCACACACACAAAAAAGTCCCAAATATCTGTATAATTTGGCCAAATTGCTTACTTTACTTCATATCTGTCATTTATTGATCCAATGTACTGTTTAGCCGGGCACCTGGAGTCCACCTACCTGATCAAGCATTTGGATCTTTGGCCAACAATCCGGTTTATGAATTTACAGATCAAACGGGTGTGATTGCTGTTGTATTCCTCAATCTCAGAGTAAACCTTCGGCAGAAAAAAATGAAGCCTAGCGAATGTGCAACACTATCTCTTCCTTAGACCTGTCTGGAAATACGACTCTACAAATTCCTCTCTCCTCTGAGAGAGCCAACAATCAGACAACCTCAGCAAGACGGAGCATTTCGTTGCAAGCTGTGCTCCCCAGCCACAAATTAGATGCCAAATTAGCACTCAGGAAGATCCAAAACTCTTTCAGATCATTCTCCATCCAAGTCTTATCATGACTCGTTCTGAATCAGACACGGGAGAGACTTCAGCGCAAGCTGCCAGTGCTTTTACACATCTCCAGAACGATCTCCTTAAATTTCAATCCTGCACGAATGGTGACATGTCCCTGTGACCCGTGACACCACTAATAGAACCGAGCTTTCTCCCACACCATCAAGAACACTTGGATTCATTTTGACAGACATTTAAAGAAGAAAATCCATGCCCATCTCTGCAGAAGAGGTAGGCTCTTACCTAGTCCCAGGCTTTGTCCATGGGCACTTGATTGGATAAAGATGCACAAAACCAAGAAAATAGAGACACATGGGGGACTTTCCATTTCTCCTGTCTCACCCGGGGTCCGAGGTCTTCTTGCTAATTTCTGAAGTTAAAGAGACCAGATTGCCTATTGATACTTTGTGAGGGAAGCCTGCTTATTAATAATTAACCTTTAACCATGCTATCAAGTGTTAGCTTCTCTTGCTACCCCCTCAACCCCAAGTCTAACTCTACCTAATTCAACAAAGCTTTTACAAAAGCTTTTTTAAAAAAAAAAAAAAAAAAAAAACAACAACAACAAAACCCTGATACATTTTGAAAATCAAATATCTTGTCATGTATTCTTACCTTCTTGGGCCAAGGTCAAAGTTCCAAATTAATCAATTTAAAGTTAATGTGTTTGGAAATTCTGTCAAAGGTCAGGGGTCAGTGGCTCGCACATGGTTACCTCGTTCTCCCTCTGACATCAGTGCACTGGGGATGCCGGCTCATGGCAGAGGTATTTCAAATTGCAGGCTAAGCACAAAGGAAAAGAAAAGGGCTCTGGCAAGCAGAGAGCTGCCGGAGGGTCCATTTTCTGATGGGTTCAGCAAAATTGCTGGTGCCTGAAGTCAAAGAGTGGTGGGATGATGTGTCTGTCTATAGCTGAAAGGGGCAGAAAACCTCTATTGTCAGTGTAAGAAGGAGCTGAAGCAAGAGCAAAGATGCAGGACCAGATGCCTTTGCGGGGGGGCAGGGGTTAGGGGGAGGGTGGCAGGCAGCGGGGGAGAGGGGCCCATTGGGAGATGACCCTAGAATAAACTCTCCAACTCTGTGCTAATTAATGCTCGCACTGTGTGGAGGATTGAGAAGTCAGGCCATTCCACAAAACCAGGCCAGGGATATGTTACTGTGTATGACTCTTGTGAGATTCCTTAGATCTCTAGTTTTATTTAAACTTTATTTGTTCAACACCTCCCCCCGCCTTTTTTTTTTTTTTTGCATGCCTACTATATGCCAGGCACTGTTTTAGGTACTTGAGATATTTAAGTGAACAAAACAGATTAACATTCCTATCTTTGTGAAGCTTATGTACCACTGGAGGTGAGAGGACTCAGATGATAGACAATGGACACAAGAAGAGATTTATGGAGATTGTAGAATGGAGTGAGAGCTATGGAAAAAGGGAAAGTATAGCAGAATTACGGGGTTGGGGAGGTAGTGATTTTAAATAGAATGGTCAGGGTGAGCCTTGTTGGGAGGTTGAACTTTAAATGAGGGTTTCAGTGGACATATTGTGAAAGAGTAGCCAGTGCAAAGGCCCTGAGGTAGGAGTGTGCCTGCTAGGTTCCAGAAACAACAAGGAGACCAATGACCCAGGAAACACCCTTATAAAGACTTTGACTCTTATGATCTGAGACATGGGGAGCCATTCTGAGTAGAAGGGTGACATGATTTGTATTATTATTTTAAAAGATCATTCTGGTTTGCAAGGCTAGGAACAGATGAGCAAGGGTGCAAGTCGGAGAGAATATGAGGAGGTCATTGCAGTCACCCAGTGCGAAGTGATGGTGGCTTGCTTCAGCATGGTAACAGTGGAATTGGGGAGCGGTGGATGGGTGTTGGATATATTTGGAGGATGGGTGCAACAGGATTTCCTGACTATTAGAATGTGAGATGCAAGACAAAGAGAGGCCTTGAGGATGACTTTAAGGACTTTGCCTCGAGCAAGCAAACATTGGGCTTGGTAACAGCTGAGGTGGGGAGGCTGTGAGTGGAGCAGTTTTGGTGGTGGAAGATTATGCAGCCAGCTTTGGCTCTGTGAGGTTTGAGGTGCCTCTAGGACATTCAGCTGGAACCATTGAGCAGGCAGTTACATCACTTGAGGATTAACTCACCAAGAAAGCAGTGAATCCAAGTGGCTCCAGAATACCAAGACCCCTCCTTCCCAATTTCTGCAGAGTACACTCTCTTACCACTTTCTACATGGGAAGAGGTCTTCAAAGTTCTGGCTCTTAGAAGTCCCTGCTTCACCAAGAGTTTTGCTACTATCGTCTCACGCCAGCTTGTTTTGTGAGGCTCTCATGGGGTGGGTTAGGAAGAGAGATGTCTGTTCCCTTTCAAGGGTGCTGACTGCTCCCATCTTCCCAAGCTCTGGCTGCCTGGCCTGTCACCCTTCTGTGGTGGTTTTATTTTATTTTTTATTTTTTATTTATTTATGATAGTCACACACACACACACACACAGAGAGAGAGAGAGAGAGAGAGAGAGAGAGAGGCAGAGACACAGGCAGAGGGAGAAGCAGGCTCCATGCACCGGGAGCCCGACGTGGGATTCGATCCCGGGTCTCCAGGATCGCACCCTGAGCCAAAGGCGGGCGCTAAACCGCTGCGCCACCCAGGGATCCCTCTGTGGTGGTTTTAATGCACCAGCCCTGTTGTGTTTTCTTGAAGCTGGCCAGGGAGACACCTGGCAGGGAAGAGGGGAGAACTTCACAGTGAGCTTTCCAGAGCCTGAGGATGCTGGGTCTACTTTCTACTAGTGAGCACAATGTGACTTAACCTGAATGAGTCCATCCCCTCACCTGTAAAATGGGGTAACATGAGCCAGAGATAATATTTGGAAATACCAACTTAGTATTATTTTTCTCCCAACATCTCTCTCCCTTGCTCTTCCTCCCTCGTAAGAAGGGCAAACTATAGAGAATTCTACAAATCTTTTGTCTTCCCCAAACTTAGGACCTAAGACAAGAGAATTGTAACCTTCAAAGAGAAGCAAAAGGCTAACCATGTTTTACAGGGATGTGAGGGGAGTAGGAGCACTCCTACCTTCTCATCACAAGGATGAGAGCCTCTTGGGCTTCGTAGGTAGGTGGGGGAAGAGAGACTTATCCCTAGGTCTGGGGGGTAGATGAGACAGTCCCTGGCTTCCCAAAAACCCTGCTGGAAGGTGGTAAAAATCTAAAGAGGATATGGCTGTGTGGTGTTGGCAGATGGGCAAAAGCTGCCCCTGTGCCTGGCATGAGGTGGGAGCAGCCGTGAGCCTCCAGTACTAACAGGTCATGTAAGATGGGAGGATGAGTCCCTTAGTGGCCACCTGTGTGGATGGGTGACAGACAATCAGGTGCCACCCCCACCACCAGGCTTGGGTGCTGTGTCTGATCCAGAACTATGGCATAATAGGGTGGGGGTGGAAAGGGGAAATCCCAGAGGGCCTGAAAAATAGGAGTTCAGTAATTCAGATGGCTTACAGAAAATGAAGACATTGCTTGTATCTCAGAATTCGTGGACTGAGATGCATCCCTGTACAAAAGGAGGTATGTCATGAGTATTAGAGATTTGCATGGGGAGCACCCAGCCAAGTGCCTGGTTCATACTAAAGGTTCAGTAAACGTAGTGACTTATTTTGGAGGCAACGTGCTCAGCGGTCAAAAGCCTAGGCTTTGGAATCAGATAGATCTAGGTTCAAATCCCTGGCCTGTCACTTTCTAACTGGGGGTGACCAAGGGCAAGACATGAGTGTTTGGAGCTTTAGCTTTTTTCTTTCATCTGCATAAGGACTACTGATGCCTCCATGATCGGGTTAGAGGGGGTAATGGAACGAGGAAAAGCAATCTTGGCAAGTAGGAAACAATAAATGATGGCTATTATTATTGTTGAATTGTTTTTAATTTACCTAGGGCATCAAGAGGGTCTCCATGAGGTAGACAACAACCGAACCACAGTGATAAAATGAAAGGGGTAGGTAAGCAGAAGGATGGGCACTGGAATCAGAGTCAGCCCAAGAACTCAGGGAGAGGATGGGTTTGGGGCCGATCCCAAGAACAGTCCATTTAAAACTTCACGGCTGACGCTTGGAGAAGCTTCATACTAAACAAATTCTCCAGGCTGTTCTTTGTCACATGAAATTTGGACCACTGCTTCCAGCTGGTGCTTGTAAGGTCTGTGGGGGCACAAGAAGAAGATAACAGACCTTTCAGATATTCCTATATCTCTTGCTAGATGCTGATTATTGGTGTCCCTCTAAAATTCATATATTAAAGCATAACCCCCAAGGTGATGGTATAAGAGGTGTGGCCTTTGGGGGGTGATTAGGTCACAATGGACAAGCCCTCATGAGTGGAGACAGTGTCCTTGTAAAAGAGACCCCATCCAGATCCCTTGCTTTGCCCCTGTGAAGGAGATCTATGGCCATCTATGAGGACCTCACCAGACACTGCTTCTGCCAATCCCTTCCTTGATCTTGTACTTACAGCCTCCAAAACTGTGGGAAATAAATGTCTGTTGTTTATAAATTTCTGTTGCTTACCCAGTCTGTGATAATCTATTATAGCAGTCCAGTAAGGTGAAAATTTTGTGTTTATATTTATAATACATTCATACTATACAATTAGAATATAGCACTATGTAATATATTGGTGATACATAATTTAGAAGCATATAAATGCCCATATATTTGCGGAGGAATGCTTAAAAATCGTTTTTTTTTTTTTTGTTCATTTGTTTTAGAGAGAGTACACATATGGGGATGAGGAGGAGGAGGAGGAGAGAGAGAGAGAGAGAGAGAATCTTAAGCACAGAGTGTGGAGCCCTACACGGGGCTTGATCTTACAGCACTGAGATCATGACCTGAGCTGAAATCAAGAGTCAAACGCTTAACCTACTGAGTCACCCAGGCCCCCAAAGTTTTTTTAAACTGATAGAGGTGCTTTACTGAAAAGGTGTGAAAACTCTCCTGTAGAAAGATAGAGTGGCTCTAGGCCTTAATGATGTAACTGAAATGTGGTTGACTCCATCAAAACATTGGAAAAGCCAATAGATCTATTAGTGGAATCTGTAGTCATTTCCATGCTGAAGAAAGCCCAGCAGTTTATGGGGGACTCTTCATTTCCCACGAACTGTAAAGGAGGCAGGCCTGAGTCCCATGGAAGCTGGAGCCTCCAGCAGAGTTATCATTATTGTCTGGAATCCTCAGCCTAAAATAATAATGGTTTTATAATTAGATTCTTAAAAATTGCTCAATTCTTGCTCTCTTTTAATTTGAAAGGCTTCGTGAAGAAATAGAAATTTCAAGAGACTGGCATTTGATGACCTGACTGTAACCTTTTCCTTTGGTGTAATGGTG